CGGGTTTAATCCTGGCCGGAGATGGGTGAGGGGTGGGGGCCTGGCAGGGGAGGAGGACATGGGTCCCTAACACAGGGCAGACCCAGTTTTCTAAGCTCTAGATCCAGCCCTCACTCTGGCCTTCTCAGAACTGCAGGAGGCCGGGCAAGAACTGAACATCGGGGCTCAGAGACTGTTTCACAGAGAAAGTGACAAACCCCTTCCTTGAAGTCTCCTATGCCAATTCTGGGTGGGCCCCACTAGAGGAAATTTCAGACTGTGTGAGTGAGATGAGGGAGAAGATGTGAAATACAGTGGACTCGGACTCTGGGAGTCTAGAGAATAGGTGAGAACCCAAGGAAGCCACCAACGGGAGGCAGGCATTATCATGCAGCCGGACTGCCGAGAGGGGCGATGGGCCACCGGGGGCCGGGGACTCCACGGATCCAGCCCATTCGTCAAAGGAAGACACTGGACTAAGTTGGCCCCCTCCCCTTCTCCCTCCTCCTCCAGCCCCCAACCCCCCGCCTCTGCTCCCTCGGTTTTAACGGGCAGTTCAAATTCCACCCCCCCCCCAAAAGCGAGGTGAGCCAGGGATTAGAAAAGAGGGAGAAAATATTCGTTGGAGATTTCTTTTCGTTATTGGTCCTCGGCTCTCTTGCTCCCTGGCCCCCTTCCCTCCTCATGAATAAAAGAAAAGTCCGAACCTATCAGATCTCGTTCGCTGCCTCCTCCTCCGCGTACTCCAGTGAGCACTTTTGCACAACTTACCCAGTGGATCACTCGCCCCCTCGCTTTCCCTCTTCTCTTCCCAACCCCGTCACCCCTTGTCGCCTCCTCTCAAGCCCCGAAACTGGAGAGGCACCTTCTTCCCTCCCCAAGTCTCCTGAGGGGCGGGGGAGGTGAAAGCTGGTGTGTAAGGGAGTAGCGAGCGTGGTCGCAGAAAGAAGGCGTGGAGAGTAGTCGGAGAGGAGAGGGAGGGGAGTGAGAGCGAGAGAATAAATATATAAATAAATACGAAAAAGAAATCCACTCCGCAGCCTCTCGGCTCAGAAACTTTGGCCGGGAGCGCCAGAGCGCGTCGCCTGCCAGTCCGAGGCGGGGGCCCTGACTCGGGCAGCGTACTCCAGCCCCGCGCCGCAGCCTGGCCTCATCTCCCGGTTCTGCCCGGCGCATCCGCCCGCACAACTTCTAGCCGAGCGGAGCGGGCAGAGGCGGCCTTGGGGTTGGTGTGTTTGTTTGTTTGAACTTCCTTGTCGCCACCTTCCCTCCCCCAACCTCCGCCCCCACCTCACCCCCCTCCCCAGCTTCTGGACGCGACTGACTGCAGCCGGGGGGTGGGGGGGTGGGGGTAGGGAGTGTTCGCGGAGGGGAGGGGGGAAGACGTTAAAAAAAAAAAAGAAGAAGAAGAAGAAAGAAAGAGATCGCAGCAGGGGTAAAGGGAGCGGACGGGAAGCGATTTTTGCCGACTCTGGATTCGTCCCCGGCGTGCGCAAGAATGGCGGCCCTTCCCGGCACTGTACCGAGGATGATGCGGCCGGCTCCCGGGCAGAACTATCCCCGCACGGGATTTCCTCTGGAAGGTAAGAGCGCCTGGGCTTGCCTCGCCTCCCTCCTCCGCCAGGACCTCGAGGTCCTTGGAGAAGTGGCGATCTCCACGGGGTGGCTGCGGCGCCAGCGGCAGCAGGAGTGTCCCCTTCTCTTTGGGGTGCAAGTCTGGGCGCCAGACCCAGGAAGTTTCTGGGACCGACACTTGTCCGTTTTCGCGTAGGTTTTACTGACCCGCGCGGCCTCAGCTTCACAGGTCGCGGGTTCTGGCCTTTACCCGCAGGGCTAAACTCCGAGTAGATTTCGGCTCCTAGTCAATTTCAAGTCTTGGTGAATTTCAGCTCATTCCACTATTTTTAGATACTTTTCCCCTGACTTTCTCGCTCTCTGCGTTCGCCAGCTACACGCTTTCTACTCTTGTTTTGAATTATTTTTACCCCTAAGATGGTCTTTCAATCCCCTTTATTTCGAAATACTAGCAATGTGTGATATTTTACATGTTTAAACTAGGACAGAAATTCCCGGTTTGGGGTTTGGAAACAAACTAATTTGAAATAATAAATAGTAACAATTTACCCCCAAAAACTTTTAACTTGGGCTCCTGAACTTTGGAAATCTCCCAGGAGAAACCTCAAGACGGCAAGAGGGCACCGAAATGTCCAGACAAGGGAAAAGTGTTAATTTTGTAAGGTGTCCTCCCGGAATATCCAACACCCGGGGTGAGCAGAAAGGACGGGTGGTGAACCCGTTCCCGGCTCGAGGAAGGGCTGGGAGCGCACCGCCATGACCCTTTCCTGCGTTTTTGTTTTGTTTTCTTTTTAAAATAATGAAAAGCCTTCAACCTGTCAACTGAGGGATCACTTGGCTTCTAGGGATAGGTAGCCCAGGGTTTGAGAGAGAAGTGGTTAGAAATAGGTGCGACTTTTATTTTTAAATTACTCTTCTTGTAAATTGTATGAGTCCCTTGTGCGTGAGGGAGGGGAGAGAAGGCAGGGAGGAGATGGATGGGCAGGCAGCCTGAGATCTGGGGAGGAGGGGGTCCCTCTGGCAGCTAGACGGCGCGGGTCTCTGAATTAGACAGAGGCGAAGAGAGTGGCTCCGTGATCAAGTGCGCGCGAGCAACCACGCAGGCGGGAGATCGCACAAGCCCGGGGATTTGCCGTAGCACTCTCCTGTGGCGAATGCAAGTGAAACAGGCGGCCGAGGACGCACAGCGGATTAGGACAATATTTGCCCAACATGACGAAGAATACTGAGGAGAGCCGAGTGCCGGTCGCTAAAGAGGCTCTTGAATATAAAGTTGGGCGCTCGAGAGCTCTCGAGCGCTAATGGCATATCCCGCCACGGAGACCGAGTGACTCTGACTTGGCGACGCACGATTTCTGATTAAATCCGAGGGTGGTTTCAGACACCTACTTTTACAGAGAAGGGTGGGGGGACCGGTCGAGGAAAGGAGGAGGCGGTAGGAACGGCTCAGCAGCCCGAGCCCCTTCTCGCCTCCTCCCTTCCAATTATACTGTCAGCTCCCTCTACTCGGGCGGCTGTGAAATCGTTCTAATCTGCCAGATCTCCGCAGCCGCCGAGTCCCCAAATCGGGGGATCGAGGCCGGATTAGTGCACCGGGTGTCCCCCAACCTTCTGGGAGGAAATTGTGTGGACTTTGCTTTAAGGCTTTCCAGGCGTTCTCCTCTCCCCAGCACACACCAGGGAAGGTTGTCTTCCTGGTTCCCAAAGTCATCCACACCCAGGGACTCTGCCCATCTGTATACCAGACTCTCTGAACCTGCAGAGACGGTTCATGGATTTTTGAGGCCAAACAGGCATTTGATTTAGGATCTTGCTGACAATTGAACATGTCCCCAAATCATCCCAAAACGAAATTAGAACTCTGAGAGGGGCTGGAAGGAAGGAGAGGCCCTCAAGAGACAGCCAGGTGCTCCCAGAGGCAGCGGCCAACGGCATTATATTGCCGGTCCCTCTGCTGTGCCTCGGCTGTTCAGTTACGGGTGGGACAGTTCTGCTGCCCAAGCCAGGGCTGTAAATACAAGTAATCAACCAGCCCCTTCTTGACCCCAATAGAATGCATCAGTCTTGACCACTTAGAGCATGGAACTGACCAGATGGGCCACATCTTACCTGTTATTGGCTTTTCTAATAGGCAGGTGGGCCTACCACCCAAGCTGCATCCTGGGCAACAGAGAGCCTTTGGTCCCAGAATCTCCAGGCTCCACCAGACTCTAGGTTCTGTCCTCTCATCTCTCTCTTCTTCCCCTTCTCAGAGGCTTCGGACCCCCCTGGTGTGTTCTCTTTCCACAGTGTGGCAGGACTGGGGACACGTAAACATCTGGGGGGACTCCTGCAGCCATCTGTCCCCCTCTCTCCATCCCCACCAGACCTTCTCTTGGCTTCATGAGTTTTTTTCCCCCTGAACTGCCACAGCTCCAAATGTGGGGAACACAGATCAGGAGTCTTGGGGCTCAAACAAAACTGGAGTCAAAAGGGCTGTACTCTTTATGTCCTCCCTGTCCTCACTCTGTGCCTCTCTCTTTCCTCATCTCCTCCTCCTTTCTCCAGTGTCCACCCCACTTGGCCAAGGCCGGGTCAATCAGCTTGGTGGGGTCTTCATCAACGGGCGACCTCTGCCTAACCACATCCGCCACAAGATAGTAGAGATGGCCCACCACGGCATCCGACCCTGTGTCATCTCCCGCCAGCTGCGTGTCTCCCACGGCTGTGTCTCCAAGATTCTCTGCCGCTACCAAGAGACTGGGTCCATCCGACCTGGGGCCATTGGCGGCAGCAAGCCCAGAGTGAGTGTCTCTGCCTCAGAGCTGGCAGCCAGCCTTCTCATGGTTAGGGGGTCCTGGTTTTAGGATTCCCTGTGTCATCCAGTGGCATCAGGGTGTCTATATGCTTCCATACAGTAGGAGTGTCCCCCAGCCCCAGACATCCCCCATTATTTGAATTTCTCAGGGATGGAGATCACTGAGGTTCAGATTGCCCAAGACTTTGAGGCCAGTGAGTCATTTCTGTGTTGTCCCTACCTCTGCCCAGATCCTTTATCACCATCCCAGACCACAGAAACTTCCCACAGTCTTGCTTGAAACAGTGAGGTGGGTCCTGGGGGTCCTAATTAGGTTTCCATTTTATTACCTATCACTATTCTATTCCACACCTCCCCACCCCCACCCCAACTGCCTTCCTGCGAGCCAGAAACAGGTCTCTTGGAAGGATAAACCAATCTCAGAATGGAAGCATGGTGACCAGAGCCACCAGCCTGGCCTGGGGCTCTTGGGAGGTTGATATTAAAAGTATCTCCCTCCCCCCACCCCATCTTTCCACTCCTACTCTCCCACCTCCACCTCTGAAGCAGGTGGCGACTCCGGATGTGGAGAAGAAGATTGAGGAGTACAAGAGGGAAAACCCAGGCATGTTCAGCTGGGAGATCCGAGACCGGCTGCTGAAGGATGGGCACTGTGACCGCAGCACCGTGCCCTCAGGTGAGAAGGCAGCTGAGCCAGCAGAGCTTGCCCGGAGTCCGGCCGGGACTCAGGGTGTGTGGGGCTGGAGGTGGGAGAGGATGGGGAGATGATGGATGACAGGTGACTTGAAGAAAAATTGGAAGGAAAAGAGCCAGAGTGCCCGTGAAGAGGGTGAGGGCACAGGAGGGAATCAAAATCGAAAGGAAGATGGGAAGAGGGAAGAAGGACAGAAAAGAAGTTGAGAAAGAAGGAGAAAGGGGGAGGAGGAAAGGAGTGAGAAAGGAAGGAAGAAAGAGAAGAAGGAAGGAAGGGAGGGAGGAAAGAAGGAAAGAAATGGGCAAAAAGTTATCCTATAAAGTTGGATAAGAGAAGCTCCCTTGGTGCCTTGTCAAAGCAGTGACTTAGAAAGGTGAATCCATCCTAGAAGGGTAGATCGTGGACTCCTTGGACTCCTTTCTCCAAGTCACCATTTCTGTTCTGTCGCTGCCACCAGCCATGAGTGAGTGGGTCGGCAAATATGGAGCCTCTGAACCATGCTGGCTGTGAAAGGGAAAGTGTCCTGGGTGTATATGTGTATGTACCTGAGCATTCAGGCGGGCAGGGCAGGGATGCACATCTGAGTGTGGGGACAGCAGCAGCAGGGGCTGGGGGGCCTCGGGGAGATCCTGGGGAGCTGGGTGTCAACGTGCATCTAGAGTGTGTGATAGTGTAAAGCCCAAGAGTGTGCAAGGATGTTGTATAGGAGTGCTCTAGGTGGGTGCCTCTGCCCCAGTCTTGCCACTGTGTGAGTGCCCCAGGTGTGCGTCACTCCGTGGGTGACTGTACTTGTGCCTCCCAGTAGGTGTAAATGCTGAAATGTGTGTTGGGAGGGAGCACGGATGGAAATCCTCATGGGTGTATTTAGAGGGGGAGTGGGCTTCGTGACTTCTCCCAGGGCCCCAGGTGGCTGCGCTCCCCAGCCCCAACGACTTATACTCGCTCTTTTGCCTTTGAATTTCTGAGGTTTAGTGAGTTCGATTAGCCGCGTGCTCAGAATCAAGTTCGGGAAGAAAGAGGAGGAGGACGAAGCGGACAAGAAGGAGGACGACGGCGAGAAGAAAGCCAAGCACAGCATCGATGGCATCCTGGGCGACAAAGGTAGGAAGCCGCCCCGGGGTCGGCGACGCCCGCGCCGCGCGTTTCCCACGCGCCAGGGTGCGGCGGACCAGGGGCTCGCCTCTGCCGCTCAGACGGGCGGACGGAACTTTATCGGGGCCTCTCGGGATGTGCAGAGAGCGCCCCCTCGGTGCGCCCCCCGGGCCGGGCGGGGCGCGGAGCCCGCGTTTCCGATGCGCCGCGGCGCTGGCCCAGACGGCCACCGCATCCCCGGGGAGCCTGCCGGCAGGTTGGTGCTCCGTGCGCCGCGGACTGCCTGCTCTAGCCGAGGACTCCGGGCCGGGCCGTGTGTCCTCCGGGGGCTGGCGTTTTGGCAGCTAGTCCCGGTGTCGATCTATTATTTATAGGAAACTTGGGCAGGTGGGCGGGGGCCGAGGAAGGAGGAGCCGGCCCTCCGCTCCCTAAATGAATTTGTTAACCAGACCCGCACACGCTCACTAAACGGTCCCTTGAAACCCCGCCTGACAGTTGACTGACCGCTGCAATCAATAAAAATTAGCGAAGGCCGCGTGGGCCGCTGCCTAATTCCCAGTCCCGCGATGCCAGGCCGAACAGAGACAGCGCGGAGGCAGGAAGGGACCGAGGGGTGCGCTTTCTAGGTGTTTTCCTCTTAGGCTGGCGCCGGTGAGGCCAGGAGTTGAGGCCAAGTTTCCAGATGCCCAGGATCAGAGGATCCCCTTGGGAGAGAGAGATTCAGGCTCCACACGCTTGCTTCCCGCTTTTAGCGCGGCTGCCGCGTGGGCTGGAGTCTGAGCCCCACGTCTGGCTTTTTCTAGAGATCAGGACGGAAGACATTTATGTTTCAAGCGCCTGCACGCCCAGGAAAGGAGACTATGCTTTTGTTTATTGACAGGGGAAGCTTCTGGAGAAGGGAAAGCTTCTCACCACCACTCCCCTCTCAGGTCTCTTTGAGACTTGGCAAGTGCATGTCAAGTTGGGATGTGGGAAAAGGAATAAAAATGGAAGACCGAAAGTCACAAAGACGGACCGGGAAAAGAAGCTAAGCCTCCAACACACAACGCAGGGAGGCAGCAGGCAGACAGGAAAGGCAGTGGCCATCATAATCTGAGAAAAAACCCAAAAACCACAGTGGCTTTGCAAAAAGTGAGGGAGTGTGCTGAACAGAAACTTGTGAAGAGCGCGTTTTGCCCGAGTTCCCTTCTAGAGGTTTCTCAAGGCACCCTTCTCCTCCAACTCCTAGCCTAGATCTCCCTCCAGCTTTCAGCAGTCTCTCCCAACCTTGAAGATGAACTTCACAGACAAAGCCCGCTTCCAAAGACAACTCCCAGCTAGGCCCAGCCCCCACAGGCCTGGTCTGAGGAGGGAGGATGGGGGGGCCAGGGCAGCCCAGTGTGAGAGCAGCCTGGAGCTGGGGAAGGGGCGGGCTATTGACATTCAGGGCCCCAAGTGGAGCCCAGTCCCACCGGGGACAAAAGGGCAGGGAAGAAAGGGAGCGGGCTGTGGCTGGCACCCCGCTGTGCTGGGCTTGCCGAAGGGCCTCAGGTCTGCAGCGGGAGGCGGCCCTGGGTTGCCCAGTGGCCCCAGGCTCGGCTGAGGCCCCGGGAATCCTTGTGGGGGAACCCACTCCTTGTTTCAATTCAGATTGGAAAGGGACTTGGACTTCTTTTTGTGGAGCGGGGGACACAGAACTTGAATAATCTTTCCTGGCCAAATACCGCACAGCAGACATAGCTTCTGAGAGGTACCCTGGGAGACAAGAAGGAGGTTTGCTTTTATTTGGAGAGACTTTGGGTAGGTGTGTGTGGCAGGAGTATGTCCAATTCAGTCTGTAATGAAGCACAATAGATACATTTCTTCTGAGGAAGAAGGAAAGGAGAGGAAGAGGATAGCAAATTTGGGGAGTTTGGAGATGCCTTTGGCTCAAAGGAGTCCAGGGGTTTCCACTGCTGATCTGGGTTTACAAAACCAGCCGACAGGCAACTTCGCTGGACAGAGGTTTTCCCCACAGTAGAACCAGGAAGCTCCAAATCTCCAAGCGTGTAATGAGGAGGCTGGCAGTTCCAGATGGGGAGGCTGAAAGTACATGTGCTAAATCTGGAGAGGAGTGGCAGAAATGAAAGTGGTGGCTCTGGTGTCCAGAAAGCACTGTGGTTTTTGAGTGACAGTGGGTGTGTTGGGCCCTGTGACTGGGAGCTGGATGGCTGTGGAAGCCCATGTGTCTCTCGGTGTGGCTGCTTGCCCACGGGCCTTTGGATCCAAGTGCCATGGATCGTGTTCCACGCAAGTGGGATTCTGTGTGGATGTGCAGCGTGATTATAGGTGGGTGTGAATGGGCAGTATGACAGTGGGGGTGAGAGAGGGTTGTCCTTCTGTCTGTGATTTGAGTACCTTGGCCAGTGGTGGGCGTTCCAGGGAACCACCCAGTGGGAACCTCTCATCTCTCTCCCAGGCCCCAGATAGCAGTTTCATGGCCAAGTTAAAGGTGGAAAGACATTCCCAGCCTCCAACAGAGTAAGCCAGGTGGGGAGAGGCAGAGATATCCCATGGGCAGAACAGGGGGAGGGGTGCACACCCACAAACTTTGTTTTGGCTTCTTGCTCCTGACAAATGCTTTCTCTGAGGGCTGCCCCTCTCATGGCGGGGAGCCGCCGAAGAAGGGGTTTAAGAGCTCGCCTCTTTAAGCGCTAAAGAGAGATCCCTCCCTGAGTCCGTTTTTTCCTATCGTCCGCTTGGCATTTAATAATGTTAAGACTTATTAGAGCTGGTAATGAAAACTGGGACTGCTGAATAGGAAACTGTGTTGGAGAGGGGTGTAATAGCTTCCAGGCATGGTAAGAAACTATTTATCCGCAATCAGTCCTCACTCTCAGAGTTTGAAGCACAAACGTTAAGTTGAAGGGTTTTAAAGCAGATTAAATTGAGCTTTTATTTCTGTGCACTTTCATCTCTGAACAGCTCACTCCTGCTCCCCTTGGGCTGATATTCATGAGGCTGTTCATAATTTTTTTTTTTTGCTCTTATCCTTGTTAAGACTGAGTTATTAGGATTGTTGGTTGTGAGAATTCTCAGACCGCTGTGGACAGGGGCTCTGGCCATACTCTACACACCTGGAAAAAGAAATGGACAGTTATTTGCCCTCATGCACTGGACTCTCTCCTCTGAGGATCAGGGGGGAGACAGGCCAGAGACCCAGCTAGGAAAAGATTTGAGGAGGGACGGGGAAGAAAAAGATTTTCCCAACCTGAGCCCAGGGAGACTCTTGTGGGAAATTTGATAGGGGTTTGCAAAGAGTCTAACCATTTCTCCGTGGGAGCTAGGGAATGCGTATGAAGAAATCAGCAATAATTTAGAAAAGCAGTAACAACAGGAATAAACAGAGCACCAGGAGCCCCTTGCATCTGACAAAGCACAAGTTTAGGCTGAAACTGACCAGATCAGACTATTTTGGTTCCTTGGGTAGAAAGCCCAGCCGGGACACAGTTAATATGAAATAAAGGGGAAAGTCACAAGATTAAAAAGAAGAGTGTGCATTTTCCTCTGGGTGGGGGAGAAGTGGGGACGTCACAGTCCAGCGGAGAATTTGCTGACTTCCGGGTGTGAAAGAGGGCGTGTGTGAGAGGCAGGCTTGTGTTTCTTTGCATTTTTCCTTAATTTATTTTGAAAACAGCAAACTTACATGTGTAGAGTGGGAAATGACGGAGGAGGATCGGAAAGGAGGGGAGAGCCCGAAGTGTCGGCTTTAGACGCTTGTAAAAGGAGGTGGGAAACAATTTAATTTGGCAGCAGCGATAGCTGCTAATGCGGTTTTCGGTCGTTTGCTACACTGGAGGAAGCTGTTTTGATTGTGTGTACAAGGACCTGCCAAATTTAATTAGGCTCCGGGGGAGCGAATGAATAGGGGAAGGGGGGCGCGGCTCTCCTCAGCCCACACCGTTGTTTCGGCTTCACACCTGGAAGGGGCATTGTTTACTGGGTAGGCGAGAACGGGGACTGGGAGGGGAGGGGCCCTCAGGGAGAGGGGCCTTGGAAGAGGGAGCGAGGGAGGGGTCGAAGACAGTCCATTTATCAAGAAACAATCTGCATTGACTTAAACCAACAAGTTCCCTCCTCTGTAAATGTGTGTTTAGAGAAAGGTAATTGACACTCCACCAAATCAAAGGATTACCCCGGGTTGGCAATCTAATCAAACAGAGTCCAGGCGGGATTTGAGGCTGTTCAGAGTGGGATCAGCTTCGCATAATGGGGGCTCGGAGGAAGATGGGAGGGTGTCAGGCAATTCCCCGGCTTTAGGCAGCGCTCGGCGGTGGATATTCAGTGAGACCAGAGGGGGAGAGGGAGGGGGCGAGGGCGCCGCCGCGCCTGGGTGGTGGGGGGATGGGGTGAACGGAGAGGGTGTGTGTGTGGGGGGGGATATCCCGGCGGAGGGGGCTCCGGGCGAGGGGGCGAACCCACACTGGGCTGACAAGACTCCCCCTTTCTTTCCTTCATTCCCCCCAACCGAAGAAGAGAGAGGGGGTGGAGGAAGCTGAGACTAACGAAGAACAACAATGAGATAACTATTACAAAGGCGAACACTGGCGCGCGCTCGCTCGCTCGCAGCCCCAGAACCCGCGGTAAATAAACAAAGTCGGCAAACTGTTTGCCAGATAAACTCGTGCCTAAATCGAGTGTGACGGGCAAGGAGAGAAGAGACAGAAGGAGATAAGGTTGGAGGGGGAATGAACGAACATAATCTAATAGAAGACATTTAGAAAACAAACTTTAAACAAGGGAGAACAGGCGAGCGGAGGGTAATTATCCGCCCCAGAGAGCCAGGGACGCCTTCGGGGGGCTGCGGGTGGGGTCTCGGGGACAGGAGCCGCCGAAGAGCCGAGCGTTGGGGAGGAGGGGTGCCTCTGGGACTCCACGGGGAACCAGGAGAGGGTCCCCGGGGCACGCGAGGGAAGGGCTCTGCTCCCAGATTGAGGCTCCCCAACGGCCCCAGACTCCCGAACGCATTTCTTAACAGGGTGGGGTCCCTG